AATTTAATTAAGCTTCTAATTTACCTTCTCGAGTGTCGGATACAGGACCACGATCATCGTCATCTACCCTAACGAACCCGTCTGCTCAGGAGGCTCGATAACAGGGGTGAGCAACTGATTAATAATAGACGTTGTTATCTCTGGTTGAACATTTTGGCATGGATGGCCACGTGGGCAACAAGGACCAAGACATGGTCAATATACGAGTCTGCATATCTTATATTAGACGACAGTCATATCAGGCAATCTACGAAGAAAGGTCTCCGTCGATAGGGTTTCGGCGAAGAATGTAACATGCCGGTTGAATCAGACTATATCAAATCGAATTGCATTTGATTGACTATTGGTGACGTTGCCGACGCCGGCAATGTGACTGACATGAAGGAGACACGGAGCGTAAGAGTTATCTATCATGGACAATTTTCCGTATGGGTGGTTCTCCGGGGTATTGAAGAGGTAAAGTAACTTGGATTATAAATTGCCTACAGCCAAGATAACCATTCGACTGCATGGACTAGTTCAAGAGGGGGAATAGAACAACGGCCTCGTAAATGCACCATACTGATATTAGATGGCTGTGCCTAGGCACACTCCTTATATTTGCTCATATGAACCAAGAGATCTACTAAGCACTACTCGCTCCAAGTGATATTTACATCATCTTTCAACTTCACACGTCGTAAGGCGTTTTCGAGTCCGGATCTGCTCAAGCAATTGTGGCAGTATCGTGGCAGGACGCTCTATTTCGTATACTCGCCTTACGTATAATTCACTTGGCATTCCTGCAGGAAGGGTGACTCTAAGCAGATACGTCAGAGCCAACTAATATACACGAAGGTTCCATTCTCGTTCCCTGCAGATAGGTAATAAATTAATGTTTCGAGAGTAGGGGGAAACACGTGGGATACTAAATTTGGCTCGAGTTAATCTGGGAGTTGAGTAAAGCCCCCAAGAATTGGCGAATGGCTGAGTTGAATCCATATTAAAGTCGCAGGCGGATAGGCAAAACTAATGAATATAGCCCCAGTCAAGCCTCCGAATCATTATCCCATCTCTCGGATCGCCGAGCTTAACTTATTGCCATCTCACTTAGAGGGCTGTGCGGGACTTTATTCCACGTGGAAGCCATGTGCTCATGGACCCGGCTGAAAGGAAGCTTATTTCGATCCATCCCAGGCTCGGAGTTGATCTTCCGCTAGATAGGAACTCCAATTGGCGCTCCTATAGCTCGAGGATAATTCAGACGTCTATATTGATATTTTGCCCACACGCATACGGTGACTTCATTTAACCGTTCTTGGCAGGAACCCCAGAATACAACGATGTAGGACCTCCACATTGGAGTCGCGATTCCTAGGAGTGCGGAGTTCTATAAGACCCAAGCCGGGAATGACGTTCGAGTCGAGAAGAATTACTCCATCCAGATTCAAGCCTCTTAACTCTCAGCTCTTCCCTTATCCAACGGTCGTCAATATGCTTTGCACCAAACTTCTCTCTCTTGCCGCGCTTCTGGGCGCATCCGTCGCCCAGAATGCCACGCTCCGCTACATGCCCTTCGGCGACTCCATCACGGAGATCATCTGCTGGCGCGCGAAGCTCTGGGAGAAGCTGAAGCCTACCGAGTGGGGTACCGTGGACTGGGTCGGCTCCGGCAAGGTAGAGAACAACTGTGGGGACACCACGTACGACCGCGACAACGAGGGCCACTCGGGTTTCTTGGCTATAGACATCGCCAACAGACAACAGCTCGTCGGATGGCTCCAGACGAACCCGGCGGACGTCATCACGATGCACCTCGGTACCAACGACATCGTTCAGCAGAACAAGCCAGTCAATGATATCATTACCGCCTTCACGACCCTAGTCGGTGTGATGAGGACGAGCAACCCCAGTATGAAGATTGTCGTAAGTCCTCTCAACATCGGATCCTTTAGCTTCTTCGATTTACCTGTAATGACTAACGTTTTCTCACGCTAGGTTGCTCAAATCATCCCCATGGGCTTCGGCAACTACAACACGCAGATCCAGAACCTGAACAAGGCCATCATCCCGTGGGCGCAGGGCCTCAACACCACCGAGTCGCCCATCTGGGTCGTGGACCAGTACACGGGCTTCAGCAGCAGCGACCTGCGCGACGGCATCCACCCCAACGACGCGGGCGACACCAAGATGATGAACGTCTGGTACCCTGCCGTCGTCAACGCCTTCCAGGTGGCTCTGGCAGACAAGCAGGCTGCTGCTGCTGTCAAGGTGGAGGTCCCGTTCACTGCATAGGATAGTGATCTTGGGGCTTGACTAGCAATGGTAACTAGGATTGAAGCTATCTTGCGTCATATTGGCTAGATCGCACAATCTTTGTCGTAGCGATTTCACTTCGATTGTATATATTCGTCGCCATATTATAGGAAATGGAACTGAAAATAGTTGGTTATCGCTCATGTGTTTAAATCCGGTCAGATATAAGCGAATTGGTACCTGGTCTCCATTAGGTCGACGCAAGTGGCGCCGTAGTAGACTCAATCAGGAATCGCTTCTTAAAATGCGATAAAGGGTTAAGTAACCGTATAATTGGCTGTTATCGTCGCTTAAATGAGTAGTTGCATCGAGTTCGCTTGTTCCGTAGTCAATCGTAAGCATGTGCGTCTAGGCATGTCTTATTGCAAGTCAAGAAATAGGGGGTGGTGGACTTTGTAGATAGGGCTTGCACTTAGTGCCACTTATAGCCGTAGCTTCGCATATTATTTCCAAGTAATTTGAACTGCATAAAGTTAAAACTGGTGAAGATACGTAGGTACCCAGGTATTCGAACAATGATTGGCGGTGCCGAGCGCCTGGTTGTAGAATGACGCCAAGATTCACTAAAATCCGTACCCCTGCTCGGTCGACGCCGTTGGTTCGAGCTAGCTAAAGTAACTGATAGCCTAACTAAAAAAGCATGTAGCGGGGATGTAGGCTTTCTCGTATGACCCGGACCTTGAATTTTCAAACGTCTCTGAGACCCCTGAATCCTAACGAGGACTTAATCCTAATACCTAAGCTGAAAAAAAGAAATCGTAAGACTCGTAATGCACTATTTCCAACGCGCCCCGTCCGAAGACTACGCAAACAGCAATTACACCATCCGAGAGTAGATGGGTTTTGGGCCAAAATGCTTTTGCAGTCGCGTTTGTCCGCGCTTTATCTGCGCTGGAAGCAGTTGCCAAATCTTCACAAAGTCATAGTCGTGTCTATGAGTTCGCTGTTCTTGCTAGGTAAGCCCATCATCTCGAGAAACGAGAGACACGTGTCGCGAACGAGCTGGGATTGACGAGGGGGGAAATAGTTGTATTTCTTCAACCTGATCCAACAGTGGCTCGCGATGGATGGAATCGTCTTACGCATCCCGGAGACGGCCCTCTGGCTGGCGGAATTCCCCTCCGCGTCATGTTCATCGGCGCTTCGATGACACTCGGCGAACACTCGACCGGTGAGGTGGGCTATCGGAAACAAATCCGAGACTGGATGGTCGCTCGAGGGAATCCTGTCAATTATGTCGGTCAAGTATGCTCTCTCCCCCAATAGTCACGAAATCTCTGGTTCTCGATCCGGCTAACTCGCTCGCGTGCCTCCAGAACCGCTACGGCGATTTCAAAGATAACGACGTCCAAGCATTCGGCGCTCAGCCCATCAAGCCAACTCTCGACCGTCTAAAGGAAGTCGTACCGCAGGTCCAGCCGAATCTGATCCTAATCAAGTATGCTACATGGGGAGTTCTTTTTTCCCCTTTCTAGCTTGTCTCAGGAGTTGATACTTCCTAATCGAGCTGTTTAAGGAGTTATTCCTCCCGAGACATACCTAAACTCCCTAGACCTCTTACTTAAGTAATTGCTGACGTCCCCTTTGTGCTGGCTCATCAGATTGCTTCCAAATGGACCACTGGGGGCCTGCGTACGTCCTGCAGAGCATGCGTGACCTAGTCGATTTCCTATTCGAGGCCTCGCCACGAGCTACCATAATCATGTCGACCATTATAACGAGCCCGTGGGACGGTACGGAGCGTTGCGTCAAGAGCTCCAACGCGCAGATCCGCCAGGTTGCCATCGACGTCATCCGCGAAGGCAAGCCCGTAGTCATGGCAGAGATGCACTACGACCAGGGCCTACCGAACTGCGTTCTGCGCGAGGATATCGGCAAGGACGGCATGCACCCCACCGACAAGGGGTACTTCAAGATGGGTGACATCTTCATAGAGAAGATCGTCGAAGTCGAGAAGAACGGCTGGCTGCAGGCTCCCGTGGAGAATGGCGTCCCCGCCGACGGCGAAGCTGCTAGGGATGCCGAAGACGCGATTAAGGCGCAGGAGGAAAAAGTGAAGGAGAAGGAGAAGGAAAAGGCGAAAGAAGGCACGGAAGCTAAACCTCCTGGGAAAAGAAGTCACGAAGGGGGGAAGGTGTCAAATAGGCGGCACCGGACTATTTAGCCAACGAGTCTTGGATGGATATAATTTTAGCATGTAATTATGGCTCTTGTTTTTTTATATGTGAATGGAAGATTACCAGGTAGGTACCTACCACCAGCGGTAGTTATGGTATATATGAATAGACAACTCTAATGCTTACTATCCTGCCCTATACTACCTACTTTCTCAAAACAGCTTCAAACTGCGATACCATTTGCAACTCCGAAACATCCGGGGTTTGCCCTGTATTTTCTCGAGAAATTTGCCTAGCCTCTATTTACTTGACGCAACTCGACACCACAAGGAAAACTAATGCAAAATTTCGGCCTGAGTAAAAGGGGAAATCCTGGATTTTGAGAGTCAAGAATCAAGCACACCCAACGTAGGTAAAGTTGAGGATTTACTTGACGTTTGATTGGTCCATGGCTGCTTAGGTAGATGATTCACTCAAGATGACTCAGCACGTGCCTTTACCTATCACCGACCAAGTCACCACATTCGAAGACAAAAATAAATCAAAAAAATTGAGGATCCCAGGTGTACCTGGAAGCCATAGGAATTGAGCCCATGGCGAGGCTCGAACTCGCAGCCTTGAGATTAAGAGTCTCACGCTCTACCGATTGAGCCACACGGGCCGTCTTCTGGTTGTTGTAGAGTGTGGGTGTTATTGTTTGTTATTGACCTACAGAGTGCGCGCTATATGGTGTAGGCTGGTTCTTGAAGATGAGGCACAGATTATGTGTAGGTTGGTTCTTCGTTGTGAGTCACCTAGGGCCCGCACCCTATTCCTTAGGCTCAGGGACTAGCAAACTTCCAATGCCCTCGGCGGCATTACGTGAACTTTTTCTCCTCTAAGATGCGCCACAGTACTGACACCCTGATTTAGGATGCCACGCCACTGGTAGTAACGACTTCATAGTCCTCTATGCGCTGGCGCGAGTAACGATGTAGGTCAGAATCCCAACTCCCGCTCGTACAACTTCGCTCCGCGCCCGATGGGCTGGACCAAGGTGTAGCTGGCCGAGCTGTCGAACTCTTGGACGCCGTTGACCAAGTACAGGGGTGTGAGGTGTTCGTCGTCGCTGAAGTAGAGCCTAGGCCTCTCGCGCCGGTAGTAATCCGTCTGTCCGCCATCGGTGAAGTGCACCGTCGTGTTGTACACCGCCTGCAGCTTGAACGTCCACTTGCCCGTCAGGCTACGCGAGAACAGGTGCCCGCCCACCCGCGGGTACTTCTCGTGCCTCTCCGCGATGTCGATCATCCAGTGGCAGAGGATGTGCCAGTTCCCTCGCTTGTCGCGCCACAGGAACGGGTCCTCTGTCCAGTGGTCGCTGTAGTCCGACGTGTTCCACGGCATCGACTTGATTAGGTCGTAAGGACCGTCGAAACCGTCTGCGCGGTAGATAAAGTTATCCTCGACGCCGAGCACAATTTCAGACGTCGGGTTAGCGTGCGTCCACAGCGGCCATGGAGTTGGGTTGGTTCCGTTGATGAGGCGCTGCGACGGCGTCCACGGTCCTCGGACGTCGGGGGCGCTAGAGACGGAGACGTTGTTCGCCCACTTATACGACTTGCACGTATCGGGGGTTTCTGTCTCTATCCCGATCGTGTACATGAGATATTTATTGTCCGCAGGACTCCACACGACCTTGACGTTGTGGCGAAACGTCCCTAGGAGTTCCTGCGCGTAGTGATAAGGACCAGCCGGCCCCGTCCGCGACTCCGCTCGGACGACGGTGCTGAACGGCCTCCAGCCCGACAACCCACAGCCCCGGGGAAACTGGTCGATGATCAGATGAAAAAGCTTTTTGTCGTGGCGGTCTTGGATGATATTTCCTCCCCACGACGAGTTGCCCTTCGCGCTGTAGAAGTCGGGCAAGGTAAAGTTCGTGTAGTTGTACCCGGTCCACCGCGTCGCGGGCTGTAGGTCGAGCTGGCCGCAGTCATCCGACTTCCATCCCGGATCACACTTGCACTTCCCGAATAAACGGTAGCAGACACCGTTGAGACTGCAGTCCTCGTCGGTCACGCACCCTTTCGCGAGGACGCTGATGGCCAGGAAGAGGACTAGGAAAGCTCTTACGAACGTCGGAATGTACATCGTTGATTTGACGTGTGCCGACTGCTCAATGCAACCAGACTTTAGCCTAGGCTCCCCCATAACGTGCAGATGCTCCCCAATTTATCAATCATCGTCGTTAGCTGCCCCGGATTTTGTTTGTTAGTGCGATGCTTGGCTGTGGGGAAATATGGGCGTTCGAGGGGATAGTGAGCTTGCAATAGTATCTTCTAACCGTTTTGATTGCTTATACAAGTTGGCTTCGGATACTACTTCCCCGATGCGCTCGCTCTGTATGCTGGTCTTGGAGTTCGCCATCGCAGTTCTCCACAGGTGAGATACCCATGTAGGATCTACGAGGTACTCTTTAAAGTTGCCACTTGGTACTGGATCTGATTGGCGATGTTACTATTCGGTAAACTATACCGATCTATCGGACATCTCTAATGTCAAGGAAGGATTCCTAGATCAGAGTAGTGGTAGAGGTTATTCGTGGAATTTCTTCTCTTTGCGGGGAAGGCTAATGTAGCGTGATAGGCGGGGTCAGTTTGAGAATCTGAAGTTCAAGATCCAAATGATGCATAATGATCAGTGTCAAGCGGTTTAGGAGACGAAGCTACCTCCTAAGCTACCTAGATAATTTTCCTTTTTCCTTTTAGAAAATGCATAACCTAACTTGCGTTGGAATGCTCTCTCGCCTCCTAACTTCCACTCGGTGTCAACTTTCGCTACGTTGCGTCTGTCTTAGAGAAGCCTTGAATAATATCAATCACCGTTTAATTTAACTAAGGTTATGAGAATGACTGGCCATTTTTTTAATGTACACCGGAGCAAATACCATCCGCTCTAAACATTGAAAACAAATAAGCGGAATTATTTATTTTAGGCAACTAGGGAGCTGAAATAGAGTCCAGCCATTTGAGGTAGCCAGCGAAAAAGTACAGTCTGTACCGTGAACAAAATATAGATCTCGTGGCATCGAGCGCCATCAACATAGAGCATCCATATGATGCATGAGCAAATGATATCTTCCAGTAAAGTCCACATCATGTCTGGCGAGCTCGAACCTCGATGCTTGAGCTTTGAAGCCATTACAACTACTATCGAGTGTACGACAACAAAGTAATCGAATAGAACGGCAGTGAAGACTTGGTTAAGCAGAAATACGTTGTGACAAGATCGAAATCGGTCAGCTGTATTTAGTAGTGTCACCAGATATTAGAGTGTGATATAATACCTATAATTTACTACGTATCACCACCTATTCTCCTATAAGAAAATTTATGATTTCCAGGAGCCCTTTATCGAGCGCTAAGGCCCATTCAGTCCTTGCCCTCTCGTCGTTCGGTGACTTGGGAAATTATTTTCATAAACTACCTAGGTACACATATCTGATGTCTAATCCTAGAGAAGGCCGGGACGTAGATTACATATTTGTAACTATTTACATTTAAATTCTCCGCAAGAATAAAAAGGCCGTAATGTATAATTGTAGCAGTACCTTTTAAGGATGTCCATGTATTTTGAAGATGTTACAATGGTTTGACCTAGGTACTTACCTAAGACATATGGCATTAAGTCTTAGTGAAGCGATTTTACGACTACATTCCTGGGTACCTATACTGTATATCATATATTGTATCTAGCATCTATGTAATACTTAGAAGATGGAACATGTCATTATATATTCGTAAGACTTTGTGACTTATTCCATTAGAGTCTTACGGTGTACGAAGAATGGGGCCTATCTCTTAGGCTAATGTTTGTTCTCGATTCGAGGATATCCCTGTAGCGTCATGAAATTTCGTATCCAAGTGAGAAGCCGGTGCTGACTGCCTCCTACCGGTATGCAAGCTTCACGCAAGGCTACATTTCTCTCTTGAGAGCTCAAGACTATCCTAGGTAGTCGATATTCTTGGCGGCACGAGCTCGGCGATAGTATAAATCACTGGTGCACGTTTCCCGCAATGTCAGACAGATAGTAGACAACATGAAGAGAATACATATCTTTATTCCTATAGTAAGTACCTAGGTACATATAAACCTACCTCAAATTGAAATGGAGACCTGCATTGTTTGTATGGTAGGTATCCATACATGTATCAGGTAATTTTGAGTTTATGGAGTGGCCAATGCGTTGAGCGGTGTGAGGAAACTGACATCGTCTCGTTGCTTTATCCTGAAAAACCTACCTACATAGGAAGGAGGTAGGTAGCCAGAAAACCTGAAGAAAGGAAAGATAAATTAAATGATGATTCATACCCTAACGGTTAACCCAACCATAGACCTTGATTATCACGCTTAAGAGTCTCTATTGAGCACGAATCTCAGGACCAGTATTCGCTCACAGTAGGTAGAGACAGAAACTCGATTATAACCGATCATGGTTTCTCAACCAGGTAGTCCATCTGGTTCTAGGGGTGTCTTCGGCGGGTTCAACTCCACGTCGCAACCTGGAACTGCACCAAACCTGTCGAATCCATCTCAAGGCGGCGGTTCATCCTCAGCTTCTACTACTCAAGCTAATTATCCTTCGACGAGTGCAAATGTGTTCGGAAGCTTCAATCCCCAAGCCAGTCAGTCGTCGACAAGTTTCTTTGGGAATCTGCCTCAGATCACTCAACCCTCGACAAGTTTATTTGGGAGTTCCACTGCCCATGCGGCCAACCCTACGCCAGCTCCACCGCCGAATCCACCACGAACCCGCCTGTTTGGGACTTTCACTGTGCCGGTGATACAAAGGCCAGCTACTCAATCAAGCCCGCCGCTGGCAACCAACTCTGAAACTTCTAACTCTTCGGGCAAGTATACACCAACTTCGCAGCCCCCGTCAAGTCCCGAGCCAAAGTCAAACGGCCCGCATTCTAAGTCTTACATGGACCGTGATGGTGACCTATGTCTCAAGGTCGGCCCTTCGTTGGCGGAGTTTGTGGTTTGCTCTAAGACTATGGCAAGGACGTCACCTTTCTGGAAGAAAATGCTGTATGGAGAGTTTGCCGAAGGCAAGAAAGCACAACCCGAATCGGAATGGGTGGTTAAACTCCCAGATGACAATGTCGCCGCAATGGAAATCGTTCTCAACATCGTCCACGGCCACTTTGACCGAGTCTCCTGTAACGACGAACTCATATATACCACTCATTTCTACAACATCTGTGTCTTGACAGATAAGTACGACATGACTCACGTCTTGCGACCCTGGGCGAAGAGTTGGTCGCGGTCCACGCAGTCCCAGTGTGACAAACTCGGCCCATCCTTGCGATCTAAGTTCTGTCACGAACGGCTTTGGATTGCGTGGGAGCTTGGCGACCAGGTTACTTTCAACGAAATCGCTCGGACTATGATCCTAAGCTGTTCCCCTTCGTTGGGAAACTACCTACACTATGTCGGAGCTATGGAGCCTCCTGGATTATATGGTACGTCTGAACTCCTTATTTTTGCATATTCTACTTCTTGCGACTCATTGCACCAAATCAGAGAATATGGAACGAGCTCGCTTGGACAGTATCAAAGCACTACTCAAACCCGTCAACGGCATGACACAAGATTTTATCCGGGGCCGGCCGAATTTAAAGT